TGGGCTCAAGCGAGTCTCCTGCCTCAGCCTCCCAAGTAGCTGGGACCACAGGTGCCTGCTACAATGCCCGGCTATTTTTTGGTTGCAGCCGTCATTGTTGTTTGGCAGGCCTGGGCTGGATTCGAACCCGCCACCTTAGGTGTATGTGGCTAGTGCCTTAGCCACTTAAGCCACAGGCACTGAGCCTGCTTTTTTTTTTGTGAAGATGAATTTTTGTTTTTTGGGGGGTTTTTTGAGACAGAGTTTCATTATATTGCCTGGCTAGAATGCCATGGTGTCACAGCTCACAGCAACCTCAAACTCTTGCATCTAAGCTATTCTCTTGCCTCAGACTCCCGAGTAGCTGGGACTACAGGTGCCTGCCACAATGCCTGGCTATTTTTTGTTGTAGTTGTCGTTGTTTTTTAGCTGGCCTGGGCTAGGTTCAAACCCGCCAGCCTGGGTGTACGTGGGTGGCGCTGTAACCACTGTGCATGGGTTCTACTTTTGAACAACAAAAGTAGAAAACGTATGTAGGATTCCAGCTAAATAAGATTTCATTCCAGCAATTTGTTTCTCTTTTCTTTTTCATTTTCTTCCTAATTCTCTTCTTTTATCCCACTTCACCCTTTCCACAGTCCATCTACTTGTATTTGCAAACTGTTATAACTCTAAGCAAGAACCTTAGAACTTCTGATTTTAAACCTTATAGACAGGGTGGGGTGGTGGCTCCCACCTGTAATCCTAGCACTCTGGAAGGCAGAGACAGGTGGATTGCTTGAGCTCCTGAGTTCGAGATCAGCCTGAGCAAGAGGAAACCCTGTCTCTAAAAAAAAAACAAAAAAAAAACAGACATTGTGGCAGGTGCTTGGAGCTACTTGGAAGCTGAGGCAAGAGGATCGCTTGTGCCCAAGATTTTGAGGTTGCTGTGAGCTATGACACCTCGGACACCTTGGCATTCAACCCAGGGTGACAGTGACAAAGTGAGCTGTTTCAAAAACAAACAACCAGCCAGGCACGGTGGCTGATGCCTGTAATCCTAGCACTCTGGTAGGCTGAAGTGGCTGGATTGCTTGAGTTCACGAGTTGGACACCAACCTGAGCAAAAGTGAGACCGTGTCTCTACTAAAAATAGAAAGACTGAGGCAAGAGGATCACTTGAACCCAAGAACCTGAGGTTGCTGTGAGCTATGACGCCATGGTACTCTACCCAGGGTGATACCTTGAGACTCTCAAATAAATAAATAAATAAAACCTTATGGACAACAGAATAAAGCAGTGTCCTGTATGGGACAGTTGGAAGGGAATAATTTTAACACATTCTGTGCCAGACCTCAGTCCCATTTCTGGGCTGAGAAAGGTTGTTTGGAACATCTGCCAGGCTGGAACTGAATTAGTATGTGACCTGGCTTTGTAAGCACCACCTAAAAGGGTCAATAGGCCAGGCACTCTTCAGGTGAATCAGTACCAGGAAAGGAATGGGGAAAATATATATGTCTTCTGATCATATGTTTCCCTATCACAGATCTAAGGTCCAGTGATGCTCTGGTTATTCCCTCCATCTCCAGTTTAGACTTGACTTTTCTGCACCTCCTTCCATACCCCTACCCACCAGTTTAGACTTGACTTCTCTTGTTTTTTTCTCCTTTCCCTTCTAGGATCCACAGCACAGAGTGTAAGTTTATTGCTTTTATTTACTTTTTTTTTGAGACAAAGCCTCAAGCTGTCGCCTTGGGTAGATTGCCATGGCTCACAGCTCACAGCAACCTCCAATTCCTGGGCTCAAGCGATTCTCCTGCCTCCACCTCCCAAGTAGCTGGGAATACAGGTGTCTGCCACAATGTCCAGCTATATATATATATTTTTTTTGGTTGCAGCTGTCATTGTTGTTTGGTGGGCCTGGGCTGGATTTGAACTGGCCAGCTCAGGTGTATGTGGCTGGCACTGTAGCCGCTTGAGCCACAGACACCAGCCTACTTTTGTTTTTTTGGAAAGAGTCTTGCTCCCTCACCCTGGTTACAGTGCAGTGGCATCATCACAGCTCACTGCAACTTCAAGCTCCTGGGTTCAAGCAATTCTCCTTCCTCAGCTTCCCAAGTAGCTGGGACTACAGACAGGTACCACCATGCCCAGCTAATTTCTTCTATTTATGGTAGAGATGGACTTTCATTCTTGCTTAGAGCTGGTCTCTAACTCCTGAGCTCAAGTGATCCTCCTATCTTGGCCTCCCAAAGTTCTGGGATTACAG